TATATCATTTGCAAATATATTTTCTCATTCAGTAGGCTGCCTTTTCATTTGGTTGATAGTTTCCTTTGCTGTGTGAAAGCATTTTAGTTTTATGTAGTCCCATTTATTTATTTTTGTTTGTTTCCCTTGCCTCAGGAGACATATCAAAAAAATATTGCTAAGACATGTCAAAGAGCATACTGCTTATGTTTCCTTCTATGAATTTTATGGTTTCAGGCTTACACTGAAGTCTTTAATCTATTTTGAGTTTATTTTTGTATATGGTGTCAGAAAGTAGTCCAGTCTGATTCTTTTGCATGTAGCTGTCCAGTTTTCTCAGCACTATTTATGGAGGAGCCTGTCTTTTCCTGGTTATATATTCTTGCCGTCTTTGTTGTAGATTAATTGCCCATATAAGTGTAAATTTATTTCTGAGCTCTCTATTTTGTTCCATTGGTCTTTGCATCTGTTTTTGTGCCAGTAGCATACTTTTTGGAAACACACAGTGTTTACCATACTGTAGCTTTGTACTATAGCTTGAAATCAGTGAGCATGATACCTATAACTTTGTTATTCTTTCTCAAGATTGTTTTGGCTACTAAGGGTTTTTTTGTGTGTGCTTCTATACAAATTTTAGAATTATACTACTTTTGTGGGCAAAATTTCCTTGATATTTTGATAGAGATTGAACTGACTCTGTAGACTGCCTTGGGTAGTAGGTCATTCTAATAATATTAATTCTTCTAATCCATGAGGACCATATGTTTTCCCCTTTTTTTATGTTGTCTTCAACTTCTTTCATCAATGTCTTATAGCTTTCTGAGTACCAGTCTTTTACCTTGCTGGTTAGATTTATTCCCAGATATTTTATTCTCTTGATGCAACTGTAAGTGGAATTGTTTTCTTAATTTCTCTTATTGATAGTTCATTGTTACTGTATAGAAATGCAATATATTTATGTACATTAATTTTGTATTTTGCAACATCACTGAATTCATTTATTAGTTCTGATAGATTTTTGGTGGCATCTTTAGGGTTTTCTATATATAGTATCATGCCATCTGTGAACAGTAACATCTTTACTTCTTTTTTTCCAATTTGGATTCCTTTTATTTCTTTTTCTTGTCTGATTGTTGTGGCTAGGACTTCCAATACTGTGTAGAATAAAAGTGGTGAGAGTGGGCATCGTTGTCTTATTCCTGATCTTAGAGGAAATGCTTTCAGATTTCACTATTAAATATGATGTTGGCTGTAGGTTTGTCATATATGACCTTTATTATGTTGAAGTATGCTCCTTTTATACCCACTTTGTGGAATGCTTTTTTTAAAATCATAAATGGATGTCGAATTTTAACAAATACTTTTTCTGCATCTATTGAGATGATCATAGGTTTTTATTCTTTAGTTTGTTAATGTGATATTTCATGTTGATTGAATTGCAAATATTGAACTATCCTTGCATCTGTAGAATAAATCTCACTCTATCATGGTGTATGATCTTTTAAAAGCATTATTGAATTCGGTTTGCTAATATTTTGTTGAGGACTTTAGCATCTATGTTCATCAGTGATATTGGCCTGTAATGTGTGTGTGTGTGTGTGTGTGGTGTCTTTGTCAGGTTTTGGTATCAGGGTGATGCTGCTGGCCTCATGAATATGTTTGGAAGCATTCCCTCCTCTTCAAATTTTTGGAATAGTTTGAAAAGCATAGGTACTAACTCCGCTTTAAATGTTCGGTAGAATTCACCTATGAAATTATCTGGTCCTGGAAATTTGACAGAGTAATTTGATGTTCATTGAATCAAATAATAAAACATCTGGGTTGATATTTTGTATGTATTTTATTTCACAAAAATAGTGATCTGAAGGAGGGAGGGTATAGCTCAGTGGTAGAGTGCATGCTTAGCACGCACGAAGTCCTGGGTTCAATCACCAATATATCCATTTAAATAAACAAACTAACTAACTAACTAATAAATAAATAAACCTAATTACTCCTTAAAATAAATAAATAAATAAATAAATAAATAAATAAATAAATAAATAAATAAATAAAAATTTAGAAGTAGTGATCTGAGTAATCAATATGCCTTCATAGGGTGCATTGCCGGAAGTGAGGCTGTTGAGCCAAAGGATAAATGTATGTCTAACTTTTTTTGGTGGAGGAGGAGGTAATTAGGTTTGTTTATTTATTTTTAAAATGGAATTACTTGGGATTGAACCCAGGACCTCATACATGCTAGGCAAGCACTCTGCCACTGAGCTATACCCTCCCCAGGGCATGTCTCATTTTGGTCGATATTGCCAGTTTGCCCTCTGTGGGCATTCTACCCTCCCTCCAATCACCTCTGAGAGGCCGGGTTCCCCGTGCAGCCTTGCCAAGAGAGCAGGTTGTCACTCTTCTGGATTTTTATCCATTCTGATCAGTAAAAATAGTATCTCAGTGGAGATTTAATTTACATTCCTCTTATCATGAGCAAGAGTGAATGTGATCAGGGCTACTGCTAGCAACTGAAGCATCTTTATGCAGAATTAGAAAAAAGCACCTCTTCCAAGATGAATTACAGAAAAGACACCACTTCTGGGTGGATGCAGAGCTTGCAGCTCCCATCCATGCTCTGTAAGCAGGGTACCTTTCTGAGATCCACACCCAGCAGCCCTGATGATAATTATTAAAGAATTGGGTGGGCTGTAGCTAGTCCAGGTAAGAACATCTCAGCAGAACCCTGGATGACGGGAGGGGAAGTAGCATCCAGGTGAGGGTAGGACCAGCGACATAATCTGTGAGTCCCAGTGCAAGATAAAATGCAAGACTCCACATCATTAAGAATTCTGAGATGGCTGAGGCAGTGCATTCAACTAGGTGCAGAGCCCACTGGGACTCTGCATGGGTTGCAAGTCCAGGGAGCCAGCCCTGGCTGAGGGGACAAATGCCCTGAGAATCCAGCTGATGGCCAGCCTTACACTGACCCACCTTCACCAGACTGGCAACATACAAGAAAAATGTGCCACGTGGAAGACATGAGCTATAGCTGCCCAAACATCAAGAACCACTTTCCTGTTTTCCCCAACAGGCCAGCAGGAGCTGCTCTTGCCCAGGGAAGGAG